TAGAACTGGGTGTGCCGGCGCCGCAGGCGGAGGATTAGCCTATTGAGCCACGGCGCAGGCTAGAAATTTTATTTTTTAAAAAAATTTAGCTGAGGTCAGCATTGTGGCTTAGTGTTACCCGGTAAAGCCACCACCAGTGGCGCCGACACCCCATATGGGCGCCAGTTAGTATCCTGGCTGCTCTTCTTCTGATCCAGCTCTTTGCTGTGGCCTGGGAAAGCAGTGGAAGATGGCCCAAGTCCTTGGGCCCCTGCACCAACGTGGGTGACCCAGATGGAGTTCCTGGCTCCTGGCTTTGGCCTGGCCCAGCTCTGGTTGCTGTTGGGGTCTCTGGGGAGTTAACCAGCAGCTGGAACAATCTTTCTCTGTCCGTCTCTCTTTCTCTATCACTCTGACTTTCAAATATTTAAAATAAACTTTTAAAAAATTCATCTTAAAAAAAAAGGAGAACCCAAGTACTTGGGCCATTATCTGCTGCCTTCCAGGCACATTAGCAGGAAGCTGGATAGAAAGTAGACACAGGACTTGATCCCAGGCACGCTGGGATGGGCTGTGGGTGTTCCAAGTGGCAGCTTAACCTGCTTCATCATGACGTCTGCACCAGTGCTAGGGACCATAAAAGGTGGGATTAGCTGGATAGATAACCTGCTGAGAGCAGGAAGGGGCTGGAGGAGCAGGACGTGGGCACCAAAAGAAAAAGGAAAGGAGAGGCCACACCGAGGACCAGTTTCACTACGTGATGCACTTAGATTTTCACTTATTTTTGTAGGCTGACTGGCTGGCTGCTTCCTCCCTCCCACTTTATAGGTGAGAAACTGGACATTCAGGGCTGGGCAGTGACTTGCCCAAGGTCATCCAGCTGGGCAGCAGGACAGGTCCAAGCCCATGAGGTTCTGAGTCCAGTGTCTTGCATCCGGCTGTCCCAGGCCCATGTCCTAGCCTGAGGAGATCAGCAGCGTAAGGCCGAGCTGATGACTGGCCACAGGATTTCTGCCTTGGGACTGTCAGCTCTCTCCAGAGGAGGCAGAGCTTGAAGCACGAGACCTTCCCTGGGCTGGCTCCAGGACTGCCTTGAGGGAGGTCATTGTTCACCCTCCTTACCTGCCCCCAGCTCCTGCCAGTCTAGGGGAGCTACTGCTTCCTGAGATCTTCAGCAACCCGGAGACACACTGCCCACTGCGGCCCCTGCTGCCTGGCTGGCAGGAGGAGCCCCAGCTCTCAGGGGACCCTCCACTAGGCCAGAAATCATGGTTGTTCCCTGGGGAAGAGGGTGCGGCAGGAGGAAGCCCACCATGCCCTGAGGATCCTCCCACTGGAGCCCCGTCCGGATGCCTTCCCATGGTTGGGGCTCTTTTGGAGGAAGTTTCGTGGACCTACTCACTCACAGCCCTCAGCTTCTGGGAGGTTTTATGCCTAACCTGAGTCCTTCCGGGCAGACACGCCATTCCTTTCCGTCTAGTTTCGCTGTCCTCAACCACATGGATGAAGGCCATTCATTCAAAGATGGGGGATGGATCTGGTTTGTCGCTGAAGTCCTCTTTCCCAGGGCAATCAATCCTCACTTCTTGGGCTTTTCTGCCTCCTCTCTCTGGCCTCATTGTGGGTTTGCCCAAGACAGCCAGTGGCAGCCCCTCTACCAACATCTAAGGGGGACAAATGGCACTGGTCACACACACAGACACAGCGTGCCCTGGGCTGGTATACCGGTCTCCTGCCTGGTCCCACCTGACCGTCTCCAGGCTGGGGCAGTTTCTGTTAGAACAGGCCGAGCTTCAGATCTCCCTCATCCCCAGGCCTCTCGGGGGTGCGGGGGGGGGGGGGGCCCTGCTGGTACAGCTCGCATCGGCTCCTTCCTCTGCCTCCTGACCACTTCCCTATTACTCTCTCGCCTTTCCGGTGTCCCCACCCCCACCGTTATCACTACTTCCTCCCCTTCCAGGGTCCACCGTGATAGGCTGCTGGGCGCGTGTCTTCCCCAGCCTTCTCCCCTGTAACACAGACCATGCCATTTATGCCCCAGCCCCAGCTGGCTCCCAAGACTCCCACTGATGGGTCCCCAGGGTAGACAATTTGTCAGAAGTAGGGGTGCAGTCTAGCATAGATCCAGAGTACGGTCGGCAGCAGTCAGCTAGAGCTATCAAGTGGAACAGACAATTCCACCATGTGAGCTCCCCTTGGAATCTTCCCCAGGAATAATCTGTGGGGGTGGGGAAGGGGGTAGTGGGCCAGTTAGAGTTTAAGACAGAGGCTTAAGCTAGGAGGCCTTACCGGCTATAGAACCAGGAAAAGAGGATCACCTGTAGGCTGCACCCTCCCTGTGTGATCGGCACACCCAGCCTGGAGAGCTCTCAGAAGCAGCCGGTGGTGGAGAGGAGCAAAATGATACCTTGGAAGCAACAGGCCATGGAAGGGTGAAGTTGTGCTAGCAAGGGTGGAGCTGGGCATTGAGCCTCGTGGTTAAGCTGCCCACATCCCAGATCAGAGTGCCTGGGTTTGATGTCCAGCTCTGGTCCACCCTGACCCCAGTTTCCTGCCTAATGCAGACCCTGGAAGGCAGCAGTGATGGCTCAAGTCATTGGGTCCCAGGCACCCACGTGGGAGAACTGGATTGAGTTCCTGGCTCTCAGCTTCAGCATGGCCCAGCCATTGTGGACATTTGGTGAGTGGACCAGTGGAAAGGAACTCTATCTTTTTTCAAATAAATAATATATATTTTGAAAATATTTATTTATTTGCTTGAAAGGCAGAGCTAGAGAGAGGTAACAGCAGAGGCAGAGAGAATCTTCCATCTCCTGGTTCACTCTCCAGATGGCTGCAATGGTCAGAGCTGGGCCAATCCAAAACAAGGAGCCAGGAGCTTCCTCCAGGTCTCCCATGAGGGTGCAGGGGCCCAAGAACTTGGGCCATCCTCCACTGCCTTCCCAGGCCACAGCAGAGAGCTGGACTGGAAGTGGAGCAGCCAGGACTCGAACCTGCGCCCATATGGGATGCCAGCACTGCAGGCAGTGGCTTTACCCGCTATGTCACAGCGCCAGCCCCTAAAAATATATTCACATGAAATGGGTAGGGTGGAAATTGATGTGGGGCAGAATTCTGCAGGGATAGATTTTGGATTATCTACTTCTGCCGTTTATCCTGAGGCCCTGCGACAAAGAGGTCGAAGCAGGGTCTGAGGAAGAGGCTGCAGCTGGGAGCGTCTCCCCAGGTGACCAAAGTGGTAGTGTGTTTCCATTCCACGCAAAGTAGAACATCATTTATTAGAGGCTTACAAAACTGGCTAGGGGATAGACTGTGGGACAGGACCACTTTGATACATCCAAGTCCAACGAATCCAAGTTCAGCAAAGTGGGGGTTGGAATGGGGTGGAGCATAAGTCTATCCTGCTCATCCATCTCTCAGGTTTCTAGGTACCTCCTACCTTGGTCATTGAGAATGAAGAGGGGGAGCCGGCACTATGTCACAGAAGACTAAGGCGCCACCTGCAGTGCTGGAATCCCATGTGGGTGCGGGTTCAAGACCCGGCTGCTCCACTTCAAATCCAGTTCCTTGCTAATGCACCTGGGAAAGCAGTGCAAGATGGTCCCAAATGCTTGGGCTTCTGTGCCCATGTGGGAGACCAAGAAGAAGCTCCTGGCTGCTGGGGTTTGGCCTGGCTTAGCCCCAGCCGTTAAGGCCATTTGGGGAGTGAACCGGTGGATGGAAGATGTCTCCTCCTCTCTCTGTATCTCTGCCTTTCCAATAAATAAATAAATCTTTAGAGAAAAGAATGAAGAGGATGGGCATTTGGTGCAGCAGTTAAGACATGTTTTGGGACGCCTGCATCCCACATTGGAGTGCTGGGCTTAAAGTCTCTGCTTCTGATCCAGCTTCCTGTTGGATGCACATCCTGGGAGGCGGCAAGTCATGGCTCATGTAGCTGCCAGCCACGTGGGAGACCCAGACTGAGTCTGTAGTTCTTGGCTTTGGCTTGGCCCAGCCCCAGCTGTTTTGGGCATTTGGGAAGTGAACCAGCAGACGGGAGATTCTCTCTCTCATATTATTTTTTAAAAAGAAGTAAAGATTTAAGGCTTCTTGACACTGCACTCTCGCTTGGGAGAATGGGGTGGAGGTGGCACCAGGGCTCACGCCTGGCATACAGCCTCATGTGGGACACTCAGTAATATATCTGCAGAGTGAATCAATAAACCTCTAAGTCCCAGAGAGCTGAGGCCTGCCCTGCTCCCTCCCCCCAGAGTTCCCTGGTTCCAGCTGCCTACGACCTCTCTTCCATCCACTAACTCGGGTGGGGAAGGCAGCACTAACCCAGGACTAAACCAAGAGGGAGAGCAACTCTTTGACCTCCCGGTAATTGTCTAGGCTAGGGAATGGGTTTTAGGGCAATCAGTGATGGGACTGCTCCAGGGCTCAGGCCCCCCCACCCTGACTTGCAGTCTTATGGCCCAAGCAGAGCTTCCTACCCTAGTGTATGTGTGTGGGTAGAGTGGGATGTGAGCTGGGCAGCGGTATACCAGGGTCCTCAGTCTTCACCCCCTCCCTGGACCTGTCCCACCGGGGAGCAGGGTTCAGCAGCAGCCTGGGAGTGGGGCAGCCCGTTATGCCCCTCTCTCAGCTCCACAGGAAGTGACTGACAAGTACTGGCTAACTGTCTCTCTTCAAAGCCAGGAGGAAGCAGCAAAAAGCAGTAGGGTGCGTGCCCAAGCATGACTCTGGGGAGCCGAGTCTGGGATGTGGCCTGGCTCACGGCCAGCAGAACCCCATGATGCCACCACCTCCACCCTCCAGTCGGGGGGCCAGGCTCTCAGTGGCACTTCACTGGCCTCTGCGAGGTGGGCAGCGGCACCTGCCAGGCCACTCAATAGAGGCGCTCTGCCCCAGGGGCTGAGGCTGCTGGACAGCTGGGAGCCTCCGGAGCTGCACCGGGTGTCAGTGGCCGGCTCCCAGGCGGCGGGGAGTGGTGTGGCATGTCCGCCTGCCTCCCCTGTGCCCCCGGCGCTCCTCACCTTGAGCTGGGACTTGGAGACCTTGCCGCTCTTCTCCACGTCCAGCGCAGTGAAGGCGTACCAGATGGACTTGAGGAGCTCCTTGCGCAGGGCCATGGCTGAGGCGCCCGCCCGGCCCGGGGGCGGCTCTAACACTGAGATCCGGTTTCAGGAAATGCAAACGGCTGCCGAGACCGCAGAGGGGCCCCGGTGCGGAGCGAGAGCTCCACCTGCCTGCTTGCTGTGGCTCCCGGTGCAGGCCTGGTGCTCCTGAAGTGCTCAGCAGCCCCGCTCCCTGCAGGGGCCCCGACCGACCGACGTTTCCAGGGCTGGAGCGCTGGCTCTGCCTCTACCTGGCTCCCTGGGCGTGTGAGGCTTTTCTACAAGTCTCCGTAGCCCCAGAGCTCTCTGGAGCTTGCCTGGGCCCCCAGAGGTTGTTTGCTGAGGGAACAAGCAAGCCCATCCCGACTCTGGAGTCAGGTGGACGGGGGTCCCGTGTCAATTCCACACTTACCAGGTGGGAAGCCGTGGGCTATTGAACTTCCTTGAGAAGCTTCCTCTTGGTAAAGCGGGAAGGATACCAAACTCAGAGAGCTGAATGGGTACGAGAAGCGCGTACGTTAGGCTCTGTATAAAGCGCTTCTTTTAGAGCTACCCAACATCACTGCGGGTGGGGCTCCACCCAGCGGAAGAAAACAAAGGCAGGGCCACGAAGCTGGGGGAGGAACTGGGCCAGGGCACCTCTCCAGGCCAGGCGGGCTCTTCATTTGTTGGCTCTGTCCCCCCCAGGCACTGGCTCTAAAAGACACACGGCACCCTGGCCACTCTGGACCCAGAAGACACAGACTGGGAAGCACTTATGGGTGAGCCCTGTGTTGGGGCCCAGCCCCAGGGGTCCTGGCAGTGGCACTTGGGCTTCGGGGCCACCCACATCTTCGGATCCAGCACTCAAGAGGGTGGGACTCACCCACAGAGAGACAGTGGTTATGGGTGTTAAAGTCTGGCCCAATTCTGAGATACACTCCCCTCCCTGAGCATGCCCCGCCCCTGTTTCCAAGGTGCTGGTGGTGACAGCAACTAGGGCTTTCCAGGTATCCCAGGAGGTGAAACCTGGGTCAGGGGGCTGGGGTTACATTCCTAGGAGGCAGGAAGGGGCTTGGGACACTGTCTTTACCACGGTGAGAGAGAAAAAGAGACATCTCTAATTACTGCAAATATATCCTGTCCGGCCAGGGTTGAACCTAGAATTTCTTTTATCAAATGCCTTCCCCACATCACTTCCTCTGGCTGGGAATGGCCTGGTCTTACCACTCGCTTTTCAAAGTGTCTGACTGTGGCTTGGCTTGGCCGGCCCCCGAGTGCGTAACAGAGCCAGAACTTCAGCACCAGAGGCATCAGACTGCTCCTTGAACCTCAGCAACCTTGGCAAAGGTGGTCTTCAGCCCCTCTCTATGCTGACTTTGCTCTCTTGGAGCGGTGGCATGTGTGGGCCAGGGGGTGGAGGGCCTGGGGGGGCTCCGATTATATTCCACCAGCAGAAGTCCTCCAACCCAGCCATCCTGAGGCCTGAGATTCAGCCAGAGCCTGGAAGCAGTGGTCACCTCGGAGCCACAGGCACGGCTATGGGCAGGAAGCCACTGAAGCTTCTCAGGGCCTGCCTTACAGCAGGTCTTCCTCCCTGCGGTGCCCCAGGTAGGCCAGCCTCCCGGGTCTGGTGTGGAGACTGAGGGGGGCTCGTGCCAGGGAAGGAGGACTGACAGCTTCACTCGATGAAGGAACCAGGTGGAAACTTGGGAACTTTTATTAAATACTCATTCACCCATTTGCCACCACCACCCACAGCAGGAAAAACAAATTATCAAAATGGAATTTAAAAAACAAAACAAAACAAATTCAACCCAATCCCCAGCAGTCTATATACAGGGCTGCTCCCTGCCTCTCTGGCCGGGGGCAGTTGGGGGTGGTGAGGGCTGGGCACCTTTTCTCCAGCCACAGGCCCCTGAGGAATTAATCTGACTGTGGTGGCAGGAAGTCCCTGGTGCCAAGTGGCCAGGTATCTCGGCTGGCCTCTGGGGGGTGGGGTTGGGGTGGTTATTGCTGGGGGCGGAGTGGGGCCAGGCTGCGCCTGTCCTGCCCCTACTGGGCTGAAGAGCTGTCTGCTCTCCCCCTGGTGGGCCGTGATCAGCTGGGGTGGAGGGCCAGCCCCACAGCCACCCAATCTCCACCTGAGAAGGGAGGTGAACCGAGGGCAGGAAGGGTTTCCTCTGGAGGGCGGACGGTGGGTGCCCAGCTGACTTCGAGGGGAAGGCTCTTCTTAGCTCCTATCATGACACACTCCCCCGATTCCAGCCTTCTGGCCTCCCTCTTGGGCAGGCGCCATCCCTTTCACTTAGGCTGTTCTCCTGCGGCCTTCTCGCCCCAGAGATCTGTGTGGCCACCTCCCCGGTGTCAGCCACAGCTGGGGCCCGCGGAGGCAAGGATGCCTGTGCAGCATGGCACCTCCTCCAGCACGGTGCGGGATCCAGGCCTCAGGCTCAGCAGCCACTCTCCGACACGGTTGTCTCCAAGGTCACGGCCCCTTGCTGCATGGCAGCAGTGGCCACACTGATGGCGTCCTCTAAGGTCTGCTGCTCCTCCAGCTATGCAGAGGAAAGGAGAGAGACTGAGAACTTCGCTCCCAGCCTCTAGTGCAAGTAGTGTGTGGTCCACTTTGTCAAATCTCTCCTATCTACCCAGCGACACACCCCAGGCTCTTAGAAAGGCCCCAGTAACGAGGAAGTTCACACAGAATAGTCTTCTTAGGCTAGGCACAGCCAGGGAATCATGGCAGGAGCCAGGGCCCAACTTGCTCACAGGAGAATTGCTGGTGGGCAAAGACCTTAGTGATCACCTACTTCAGCCTCCTTACTTCCCAGAAACTGAGACAAGAAGGCTCTGGACCACAGCACTGATAACAGCCGGAAGGGGATTCACACTGGGCCTCGGCCAAGAAAAGCTCTCGAGACAGACGTGCGGATGTAGCAGAGAGGAGTTCCTCCTCGGAAAAGGGCTCTTCTTCAGCCGGACATGCTTCTCTTCAGGATCCCTGCCTAGCCCCTCCCCATCCCCTTCCCCTCTCTGGGGGTGGGATCCCCTTTCCTCCCTCTACCCACCTGCACTGCAATGTGGGTTCCGTTGGCTGTGGCCAGTAGCGCCACCTGTTGGTGATGAAGGGAAGCTACACTTGAGTCCTCAGCCACCACAGCCCCAGAAGTAATGATCGTGACCTGAAACACAGAAGAATGAGGTCTATGGAGCCCATGTTGTGGAGCAGCAGGTAAAGCCACTCACTGCCTGGGAGGCCTGCACAGCCAGCATCCCATATGGGTGCACTTCATGTCCTGGCTGTTCCACCTTCCATTCAGCTAACTGCTGTGGCCTGGGAAAAGCAGTGGAAGATGGTCCAAGTGTTTGGGCCCCTGCACCCACATGAGAGACCCAGATGAAGCTCCTGGCTCTGGTCTGGCCCAGCCCCAACTGTTGTGGCCACTTGGGGAGTGAACCAACAGATGGAAGATCTCTCTGTCTCTCCCTTTCTCTCTTTCAAATAGATAAATCTTTAAAAGAATGTAAATTAGAACATTTTCTAAAACATGAGGTCTTCCCACTCATTCACAAGACTCTCCCCGCCCACACACTCAAAATAAAAATATCCCTCCAAGCAAGGTAGATGGGATAGCTGGGAACAACCAGAAGGGAATGGATAAAACCATTATGGGTCAGACTAATTAGCTTAGGGCTGAGAGCAAAGGAGGTTGGATTTTTCCCAATTTAGAGCCCAGCTTAATTTAGGGATTTTGAATTACACAAGGCAAAGCTGTAAAAAAAAAAAAAAAAAAAAAACAAACCAGAGTAACTGAACCTCACTTGAAAATGGAAGAGTGACCTATCTACGGTCACAGCAAACTAGGGACAGACTGACATCAAGAAGCTGTTTCTTGACTCCCAAATGCTTTAAGGGCGGGAGCAGCTGCTGGCCCAGGGGAGCTGTGGGGACGGTCCTTTTCCGTAGGTAATCTGTGTCTTCCTAAGAGGCTTGACGGGGTTAGCCTCTGTTTTATTGCCCACCCCACAGAAAGGAACGACAAGCGAAGAGGAAACCCCGAGCAAACCGCCTGGTCATACGGGCTGCGTCTGCGTGCCATCGGCGCTGACCATGGTGACCGTGTGCGTGCCAGATGTGGTCAGGTCGTCGTCATGACTGGGGATGGCGAGGGTGGTGCCGCCGTGCTGGGTCACCATACTGATGGCACTCCCCAGGGCCTGCAGGTCCTCTGGGGAGAGGCTGACCTGCCGACAGACGGGAGCAGGTGGGCTGGGAGTGCCAGTGGAGGGTGCATCTGTTTTCCTGGATGAGGCTAGCTTACTGGTGAGCCAGGATAGCTTTAGATCCTGGGATGGGGTGGGGGGAGCCAGCAGAGAGAACAGGTCCCAGGTTGCTGAGAGAAGCTGCGCTGGAGGCGCCCTGCTGACCACCTCTATTTACCACCACTTTGCTTCCGGGCCCTGTTGTATGCACTTCAATCTCCTCGTCCCAACAACTCCAGACGGCGCAACTGACAGGTATGGGTGCCGCCCAGGGCCATGGTGGGACCAGACCCTTGGCTTCCAGACCCCACTCCATGCTCTGGCCCCTCTACCAGCATGCCTCTCTGCAGGAGGACATCCAAGTGTCTCACTCAGAGGACTGAGGCCTGTCAGCGGCCGAGTAAAGAGTAAAACTTCTAACTGCTCCAGAGCCTCTCATGCAGAGCTGGAAGCATGAGGAGGAGGGGCTGTGCCCCAAGATTTGGCCCCTTCAGCCTGGGCTCCAAAACAGGAGAAGCAGGACTACTGGAACTTCAGGGCTCTCCAGAGAATGGGAGGAGGGGGAGCAGACAAGAACGGCCCACTCCGCCCCTGTCTCCCAGGGCGCGTACCTGCTGGGCGCCATCCTGAGTGATGAGAGCCACCTGGGCAGCCCCGTCTTCCTCAGTCACCATGGCCACCTGGGTTGGGATGTCGTCACCCTCTTCTTTCACCTCCGAAAGGTAAGTAATGCGGGGTCGTTTGGGTGGCGGGCTCTCCTCGGCTGCAGAGGCGGCTGGAGATGAGAGCCCAGGTTGACACCTGCCCTTTGGATGCCATGGGGGAGGCCTGGCTTGTCCCCATTCGCACCCTCTGCCCGCTCCCCTCACCCTCCAGCTGCTGTTGCTCATAGAGGGCCTGCTCGCTCTCCTCCGTGGCCTCCAGCTCGCCGTGGGCGCTGCGCTTGTGCATGGCCAGGGTGGAGGTCTGCCGGTAGGTCTTGCCGCAGGTGCTACAGGTGTAGGGCTTGCAGTGCGTGTGCACCACATGGTGCTTGTACAGGCTCGAGTACTCGGTGAAGCGCTTCCCACAGCCTGGCACGGTGCAAACGTATGGCTTCTCCCCTGGGGACACTGGGCTGTGAGGGGGGTGGGAACTGGGGCTGGCAAAGGGGAAACTAGGGGGAAGGGGGAGGGAGGTGCAGGGCTGTGAAAGGAGAGCCAGAGGGAGGGAGAGGGGCTGCGGCTTGAAACTCTGAATGATCAGGGTTGGGAAGATGAGAGGAGGGGCCGAGGCTGGGGTGAGTCAGGGGCTCCTGGGGGTCCTGGGGCTTACAAGGTTGAGGGTGGGAGGGTTCAGAGTGTGAACAGAAGAGGCAGGGGCTAGGGAGGATGCCTAAAGTGTCAGGCCGCACACTGCCCACGCAGAAGGCCAGCCGAGGGATGTGACACTAGGGAGGCGAGGGTACGTAGGAGTCACATGGGCAGTGGGCAAGGTGGGGAGCTGAGAGTGACAGCTCATCTACTTCCCTCTCATCCATGGCCCTGGCTGCTTTTCAGGAGCTTGGCTGGATGGGGAAAGTGCAGGGTGGGTGGGGAGCTGAGGGACCCCAGGGAGAGAGAGCTAGCAATACCCATCATGGTGCAACTGACAGGAAATGGGGGCACTGCTCACTGCCCGGGAAACACGGTTCTGGGGATCTCCACCCCAAGACCGGATGGGAGCAGCTAGCAGGGAAGGGCTTTAGGCTAGGAGTTGAGACTGTCTCCAATCAGCAGCCTGCAGAGGGGGCTGGGGCCTCAGAGGGGTGGTCCTCGCATGCTGGCTGGCCCACCTGTATGGATGCGCACGTGATTCTTGTAGTTGGTGGCACTGGTGAAGCCACGGCCACAGTGGGGTTCGGGGCAGGTGTAGGGCCGCTCGCCTGTGTGGGTGCGCACATGGACCTTGCGGATATTAGACGTGGTAAAGGAGCGGCCGCAGCCCTCAAAAGGGCACCGGAACGGGCGTTCACCTGTGCAGACAGGGGTTGTGAGGGGCGGCTCAGGCAAATGGGATGGTTCCAGGTCTAAGTCTGGAAGGCGGGCTGAGCTCCCTTTCCCAAGGAACGGTGTGGTCAGGGCCCAGCCTACCGGTGTGGGTGCGGACATGCTTCTGCAGGTCTCCTGAGGTCTTGAAGGCCTTGCTGCACAGCTCCTCTGGGCACTTGTAAGGTTTCTCACCAGTGTGGGTGCGAACGTGGCTCTTCAGCCCATAACCTGTCCGCATGTGGCAGGGAGGGGAAGAAGAGCACCCAGCGGGGCCTCAATCTCCACTGTCCACCTCATCTGGAGGTTTCTATCTTAAGGTGTGCTCTGGGAAGTTCCAGAATTCCTCTGGCTCAGGAAGCCCGTGTTTACTGCTATCCCAATCCCACCTGGGCGCATAAGGGATGCTGGGCAAACCCACTCTGCCCTCCTTCCCTCTCCAGAGCAAGCCAGAGCCATGCCAGAACACGAACATGAACGGGAATCTCATTGCCCACAGCTAAAGGTCCTCGTTTCACAGAGGGAAGGTAAAGCCCACGGAGACAGCACGGCCCACCTCCCACCGCATGGCTGGTCAGCGTCGGAGCTGACACAGAGTGTAGATCTCTCCAGCAAGCCCCCCAGATCTCTGGTGCTGGCCAGGACCATGCTGCCTTTCACTTCTGCAACAGGGTTGCCTCCCGAGAGCGCCCTGCGAGTGTGAGTGCTCTTGCAGTAGCTGCTCAGGTGTGGGGTTCCCCAAGCTCGTCTAGAGCCCCCTGCCCTCCAGTGTATGCAGTCCGCCTTCAGTGTCCATCCAGGCGGGTTACCTGTGGCAAAGGCCTTTCCGCAGCTGGGGAAGTCACACCTGTAGGGGCGGTCACCCGTGTGAGCTCGTTCATGCACCTGTGAGGACAAGCAATCACACGCTTCAGAGGGACAAGGGCGTGGCCTGGGCCTGCTTCCCGTCCCTCCACGTGTCCATGTGTGTCACAGTCCCCGTGCCGACACTCCTGCCCCTTGTCTCTGGCCTTCGGCAGCTAGTGTGCTACTGCAGGGCAGTGAGCAGTTCCAGCAGAGCTGAAGGGAAGACCACTGCAAGCTGCGCCAGCGCCCGTACCTTCAGGTGATGTGCGGTGGTGTAGAGCCGCCCACAGCCCTTGTAGCCACAGCGGAACGCCCGGTCTCCAGCCTGCTGCCCTTTGCCATTCAGGGGAGCCTGGTTGTCCTGCAGAACCTGAGGAAAAAGCCTTGGGGTCCCTCCATGGACTCCCCCTCAATGAAGGACAGGGAACAGGGGGGCACAGGGCCTGGCTGGCAGCTCAAGACCCAGTCAAGAGGACGACGCCTGACCGTGGCCTAGGGGTGGAATGGCATATCCCGATGGACCAGGAGTAGATGCTGTGGTGAGCCAGGGCTGGCACTGGTGCCCCCACCCCTCTCTGATGGAGGGGGGGGGCTGTCACAGGGGCTGTGACAGCAGGGTATCACCTAGACAGCTGGGTAACATGGGGAGAGGTTTGTCTGAATGCTCACGCTGAGTCAGGCTAACTGCCAGAAACCCCCCTTTCACCCTCACCCACCTAGGAGGCCCTGGCTTTGACAGCTCTGTTCTCCGGCGGGAGGAACCCCCTTCCTCCCCGTGGGACACCTGTGCTCAAAAGGGGCCTTAACACCGGGGCTTGCTGTGGGGAAGAGCTACCGAGGGCCCAGAGAGAAGCAGCCATGACGACAGAAATCTCAGCAGGGGCACCCAGCTCACTTTTTTTTTTTTTCCTTAAAGCACAATGGGACTTAGGGCTTCTTTATATAGAATTCAAGTCTGAAGTTTATATACATACACACACACAGAGTTTATATACATACATATATGTATATGTTTATACACACACACACACACACACACACACACACACACACACACACATATAGACAGAGAGACAGACAGCTCCCACCTATTGATTCATTCCCCAAATGCCTGCAACAGCCGGACTAAAGGACCCTGCCCAGGAAAGTGAAAGAGCAGTGAGGGCTCCCTATGGCCAGAGGATGGTGTGAGACGGAGGCTCTGGCAGTGCCCCGGGAGTGGAGATGAGAGGGGAAGGCTCGTCAGCTAGCGGGCACAGGGTGACTGTCTGCCCTCACAGTGAAGATGCCACAGCCCTTAGCAGAGCGCTCCAGCTCCATTCCACCTTCCTGCTAACGTGCACCCCGGGGGTGGCAGTGATCCCTCAAGTACTCGGGTCCTTGCCACTCCCGTGGGAGACCCGGATGGAGCTGCTGGCACCTGGCTCCTGCCTGGCTGATGTGGGCATTTAGGGATTGGACCAGCAGACAGAAATCTTCCTGTCTTTGCCTCTCTGCCTTTCAGATAAACATAAACATAACTCAGTAAAGCTCAAGTCTCCCTTCACGAGCAGCTAGTCTCAAATGTGGTCTGAAACACACCACAGGGGGCCACACGGCTGTGCTTCCTTTTGAAGAGACACGAGGATTTCCCTCATCTCCCCAACCACACTGCTGCACTAGTCTGCCAGTCTCCGGGGGGAAGCTTCAGGAAGCCCTGCCACATTCATGCAGAGGTCTTGCAGTCCAGCCCAGGAGGCAGCCCCAGGCCTGGAAGCTCAGAGACCCCTGCACTCCTGGTCCCCACACAGGCGCGAGCACAGTTCCAGTGGGTGGCGCTTGGACTGGCTGATGCTGGGACAGCCAGGGTCCTTCTCCTCTTTAGCCGAGCGACTGTGTGGGCCTCGCGCCCAAGAATCCCGGCTGCTCTGTTTCATGTGCCCTCACCGTTGCCTACTGAGGCTATTTTCCCAAATGACTGCATGAGTCAAAGAGAAGAAATAAATACAAGAGCATCTGACTCCAGTGGATTGGAGACTAATACAAAGAGCTTTTGTAATGGCGAGAGCTTTCCCAAATAGCACAGAGGATTAGTACAGCAGCCAAAGCAAAGCCGAGCCTCCCTTCCTACCATACGGATGTCACTGTTTCTTACAGAGGCCTTCCCTCTGCAGAGACACCATGGATAAGGGGGAGCATAAGCAGCTGTCAGCGGCCCTGGCCCCGACCCATGAGCGATGATTTGGGGGGAGAACTAGGGTAGAGGGGCAAAGGGAGTAGCCCAGACTATGCCCAAGCACAGGCTGCCCTCGTCCCCAATAAAGTTCTAGCGGGGCCAAGAGGCAGTGGGCAGGTGTGAGTGACAGGCAGCGTCAGGCTGTGTGTGCTCACTTTGCTGGCGTACTGCTCCAGGGCCACCACTGTGTCTGCACTGAAGCCCTCGTCGTCCTCTGCTGCGAGGTCCTCCAAGCCCACCTCTGTCTGCACAGCAAGGATGGTGCTGTTGGACGGCACAGCCACGGGGTGGTGAATGTAGGCAGTGGAGCCGTCTTCCAGCTGGACGGCTTCCAGGGCGCTGGGGTCATAGCCCTCTGCAGGGAACACAAGGTTAGCCCCAAGGCTGCACAAGGGGAAGAGATACAGACTGGAGCCTGGCTTTAGGTTCATGAGCGGCACATACACCAAGGAGGGTTCCAGGATTCTGTCTCTCCTCAACCCCCCACCGTGGTGATTCACTCTTTCTAGCCCTCCCTCTGCAGCTACCTCTCCAAAGGATGGGGTCTCCTGTGGGTCACTGCTGGGGAACTCAAAAGCTCCATGAGGACCCGATGGGAGACCATCATCCTCTTGGCCTAGATGACCACAGGAGCTTCCTGGCCGGTTGTCCTTCCCCACCTTCCAGCTCCTTCTAGGCTGCAGAGCATTCGGACGGATCTCGGCAGCACACGGATGTGATCATGCCACTTGACTGCCTAAACGTTTCTAATACTTCCCACTGCCATCCTGACACCCAAGCCCCGAGTACTCTGGCCCTGCCTTTCTCTCCTGGGCTGCATCTCATGCAGCCCGTCCTCACGCCAGCACTCCAGCTCCCAGCTTTTTGGAATGGGCCATAGCCCCAGGCCTGCATGTGCTGACCCTTCTGTCTGCAGTACTGAGCCCTCCCTGTCACCCTACTTCCCCTAGCTAAGCCCACTCCATCTGTTAGCTCTCGGCTGCATCACTTCCTCAGAAGCCTTCCCTGAGCCTGATCCCTCTCTGTAAAGATGTTGTCATCGGGGACAGCTGTTTCACTTCTCTTTTCCCCAAAAAGACTGCAAAAGCAACGTCTGAGTCTGTTTCCCTCTACGTGCTCCACACCAAGCGCACTGCCTGGCATGCAGTAGTCACTCAAGAAGCTACTCGTTGGGGCCAGTGCTGTGGCATAGTGGGTAAGGCTGCTGCCTGCAGTGCTGAAATCCCAATTGGCCATCTGTTCAAGACCTGGCTGCTCCACTTCTGATCCAGCTCTCTGCTAAGGCCTCCTGGGACAGCAGTAAAAGATGGTCCAAGTCCTTGGGCCCCTGCACCCACGTGGGAGACCTGGAGGAAGCTCCTGGCTCCTGGCTTTGGATCAGTGAAGCTCCAGCCGTTGCGGCCATTTGGGAAGTAAACCAGCAGATGGAAGACCTCTCTCTGTCTGCCTCTGCCTCTCTGTAACTCTGCCTTTCCAATGAATGAATGAATGAATGAATGAATAAATCTTTAAAGAAGTTACACATAGAAGGAATAAAGTCCCTTAGGAGCTTCATTCTTGAATATTAGGAAGGTCTCAGGTGATGTCTTTCTTTCCTGTTTGAAGCTCTAAGAACCTTGTGTCTGTAAGGAACCACATCCCACACTACTGAGGTTCAAGGCTGGCAGAAAACAGCCGCTCCCGTGATGTGCACCAGGAAAGGGAGGCTGCTAACCCAGGTGAGCATGTATGTACCTTGGAGAACACAGGCCCTGCATCTACAGCCCAACCTCCTGTGTGGTACTCCAGCCCTCAACCTCTGTCACTTCTGCCCCGCCTCCTTCCCTGCTGGCCATGGTAACTGTGACCCACCTTTGGGTGTACGGTGAATGTAGGCCATGCTGCCATCTTCCAGTTGTACAGGCTGTCCATCCTCAAAGGAGAGAGATTCTGTAATGAGAACATTGCCCGCCTTTCTCTGGATCTCAGGGCCTGCGGGGGGCCCAGGTCTCTCTCAGGGCAGGGTGTCGGGATGGCCTCACCTTTCTGTACTGTCACTTGGTGAATGTATGCTGTGGTCCCATCCTCAAGCTGGATCACTTGCCCTTCAAGCAGCTTCTCTCCTGTGGAGGTAAGAGGGAGAGAAAGGGCCCAGGCCCAGAGGAGGACTAAGAGATGCCTGCCTGTCTGTGGCAGAGGCCTCTGTCTCAGGGCTCCAGCCTGCAGGTCTAAGCCTGGTAACATTCTCTGCGTTCCCTCACCCCCTGCCTCCCCAGAGCTGAGCCTCAAGGCCCTGAGGGCGAAGACATTCTGCCATGTAGGAACCCTACATCTCCCAACGGAACTCTCCCATTACTTACTCCTAAGAGGAGCAACTTCATTTATTAGTGCTATCAGCAAAGTGGAGACTTCCAACCTCACAGGAAGCTGCTGAGTTGAACAAGGGATGCCCTGACACCTGCGAGGGACTCAATGGGTCAAAATTAAGTGAAGCTCAAGCTAACAAAATCAAAACACACCCCCCCATCCTTCCCTGTGGCAGCACACCAACACCAGAGCCTCCAAAAAGGCAGAGTCGAGCACTGTGGCTAAGAGCAATGGGCTCTGGAGGCAGCCCACAGCTTCCTTCAATTCCAACTCTACCTCTTATTGACTGTGATCTTGGATACCTCGCTTAACCTCTCTGTGCCTCAGTTTCCTTCTCCTAAAATGGGGATTAGGGGTTGTCATTGTGGTGCAGTGGGTTAAGCCACTGCTTGCAATGCCAGCATCCTATATGAGCATTAGTTCAACTCCCAACCTGATCCAGCTCTCTGTTAATATGCCTGGGACGGCAGTGGAAGATGGCCCATGTACCTGGGCCCCCGCACCCACATGGGAGAGTTCCTGGCTCCTGGCTTTGGCCTGGCCCAGCCCTGGCTATTGCAGCCATTTGGGGAATGAACCAGTAGATGGAAGATATCTCTTTCTGTCTCTCCCCTTTCTCTGTCATTGCGCTTTTTAAATAAATAAATCTTTAAAAAATAATAAAAATGAAGATTAAAAATTGTCTTTTCCTCATAGAGTTGCAGTGAGAGTTAAATGAGTTAAAGAATATAAAACATTGGGAACAGTGCCAGGCACAAGGTCAACCCTAAATAAACTTTGGTTTTTATTATAAGTCCAATCTGTACTTTAAGGAAATGGAAAGTAAAGCTATGTGAGTGAGACTATTCTGCTATTGTATGTCCACCTAGGCCTTGTTCCACTGCTACTGCTAAGTAATGCTTCCTCTAGTGACCTCTGATATATTCACTGCAATCTTCTAATAAAGAATTGACTCATCTAAGGCGACACAACAAGCAGCAAAAAATCAGCAAGACTCCAGATTTCCTAAGATTCTCCTTTTATCTTACTGGAAAGTACTTCTAAAATGTGTACAAACTAGATTTACACATACCGGCTGCACAGCTGCAGTGAGTCTGAAAGAGGGAGAAAGAAAGAAGGGAGAAAGAGAAGAAGGAAAGGGAGGCCGAGAGTAATGACCAGTGACTTGTTCGTCCTTTTCTTTGGAAGGTTCAGTTTAGGAACGTGAGCCAGCGTGATCTGGGAAAAGGACCAAGCAGACACTCTGGTCCAGCTCTCTACTTCGCCTCCTCTTCAGAGAACTCCCCAAGCTTGCCCCCAGATGGATTCTTCTTGTGGTCAGTAACCAAAAAAAAAGCCCTACAACCCAGCCAGAGGCAGCGTGGAGCAAGGGTAAGAAGTAGGAAAGGCAGCTGAGATGAGGGACGAGGACCTGCTCCCTGCCCTCCTACCAAGAGAGCAGCAGCCTACCCTCACTTTCGCACTTTGTCCACCCTGGCGGGGGCGCCAACACTTGGGACTCTGAACTTCCCAGTGGAGCTACTGCTGGCTCCGTAGGCGTTGCTTTAAGGCAGGAACAAAATATTGCAAAGAGTTGTTAGAGAAAAAATTTCAACCTACAATTTGCTCTAACAATTGGAGACTATAATGGATGAGAGCCCTGAACCCCATCATAGTGGGGTGACCCCATGTCCCACTGGCCTGGAGCAGACCCAGTGCAGTCATTAACAGTACACTCTTCCACTCTCAACAGCACCAAGTTTGAATGATGTTTTATGCTCAACCTAATTATAAATAAACCCCACAAGATTTAGGGCTTCTTGCTGGCTAAGCTGGGTGCACACAGAGCTGCCTGCTGATAGACAAGTACCTCCATCAAAAGCATCAGAGGGGCCAGCATAGCAGCGTGTTGGGTAAAGCAGCTGCCTGCAACACCGGCATCCCAATTATGTACTGGTTTGTTTCCTGGCTGCTCAGCTTCCAATCCAGCTCCCTGCTAATATGCCTGGGAAAGCAGCAGAGGATGGCCAGCATACTTGTTCCCCTGTACCTACGTGACAGACCTGGATGAGGTCCTGGCTGGCCCTGCCCTGGCCCTGCCCTGGCCGTTGCAGCCATTTGGGGAGTGAACCAGTGAATGGGAGTCTCTCTCTCTCTCTCTCTCTCTCTGTAACTCTGCCTTTCAAAAAATAAAAATAAAAAAGCATCAGAGGGATTCAGTGGTCTGTCAGTTCACCACTGGAAAAACTGCTATGTGCAGGTATGTGCGTGCATACAAGCACACATGTGACACTATGGAGGAAGCAGAGAACAGAGCTAGCAGGAGTGATGAGACAAAGATACAAACGGAGAGGCCGGGCAACAAAGAGACCCGGACATAAGAAGGAAAGACAGAAGAGAGTGGCTTTCTCTGGCCAGAGATGATCATTTGTTTTTTATTCATTCATCCAACCATGAATTCTTCATGAAAAACTGAGGCCTGGGAACGAAGCAGGCCCACGGAGTAAACACAGTCCCAACAAGGGCTCTGAAATTCTTCCAGTCCACAAGACCCTCGGTGGCGGGCTGGCGTCACACAGAGGGTTTCAGCCTTCACAAGCATTCTAGAGACGTGCGTTCTCAAGAGCACGAAGCCAGCGAGAACATGACACAGCAGACAGAGTGACTCCCCAGTCCCACGGGAAAGAACTTACTGATGAGATCCGGACAGCTCTTTAGTCGTCATCAGGAAACAGACAATTTAAAATGAAATCAATAAACAATTTCTCTGTAAACTTAGCAGTAGAGATTTGTTTCGGCAATGTGCCGACATGAAGGAGGGGAATGTTGCAAAGACAGTGTGTTCATGAGGATGCTGCTGCTCAGGAATCCCCCCCCAAAAAAGGTCAAATCGGGGCCAGCGCAGTGGCGCAGTAGGTTAATCTTCCACCTGCGGTGCCGGCATCCCATATGGGTGCCAGATTGAGTCCCGGCTGCTCCTCTTCCAATCCAGCTCTCTGCTGTGGCCTGGAAAAGCAGCAGAAGATGGCTCACGTGCTTGGGCCCCTGCACCCATATGGGAGACCGGGAGGAAGCACCTGGCTTCTGGCTTCAGACAGTCGCATCTCTGGCCGTTGCGGCCATTTGGGGAGTGAACCAACGGAAGGAAGACCTTTCTCTCTGTTTCTCCCTCTCACTGTCTGTAACTCTACCTCTCAAAAAAATAAATAATCCTTTTTATATATATAAAAAAAAGGTCAAATAAAGAGCAGGAAGTGGGGAACATGTTCAGCCTAGTAGTTAAGCCACAGATAGGAAGCCCACGTCCTGTGTCGGAGCGTCTGGGTTAGAAACTTGGCTCTGGCTCTGATTCCAGCTTGCTGCTAATGAAGACTTGGAGAGGCATGAGAGATGGCTCAAATAATCGGACTGCTGCCACCTACGTGGGAAGCCTGGATGGAGTTCCTGGTTCCTGGCTTCGAGGCCGAGTCTACTCTTAGCTACTCTGGGAAAGAACCAGCAGATGGGAGTGTGCATTCTCTCTTTCTATATAATTCTGTCTTTCTATCTCTCAAATACATACTTTTTTTAAATTAAAGAGTAGGAATGAGCAGTGTTTGCCTAGTGTTGTCCAAAGAAGCCACGATGGCACGTAGCGTGCCTGAGATGGCGCAGGAAAGCAGGGGTGCCCCTGCCTCAGGCCTTGCCCTCAGCAGCACTCTCTCGACTCCACACTACCTTGATCGGAAGTTCTTAAGTGTGGGGAGCACTGCCAGATGAAATACAATGCGCCTAGGTAAATCTGAATGTCAGATAAATGACAGACTTCTTAGTGCAGACAGAGCATCCTCATATGTGAAAATCTGAAATGCAAAGTTCCAAAAATCCAAAATATACTTACACCCAAAAGTTTCAGCTTTTGGAGCATTCTGGATATCAGATTTTGGTATCGGGAATGCTCAACTGGTAAAGTCTGCACAAATATCTCAAACTCCAAAAAAACTATAAAATCTGAAAATCCTCCCGTCCCAAGCATATGGGAAAAAGGGATATTCAATCTGTACTCAGTAACACTGCTTTAGTATTTTTTAGTATTTAATCTCATTTTAAATGTTTATTATTTTATTTATTTGAAAGAGAGACGGAGAGTTTCATACATGTCTACCTCATGCAATATTTGGAACATACCTCTACCACAAAAGTATCTGTTGCTATCTGCAATCCAAGTAACAGGTGTCCTGTATTTCATTCCTGGCAAGCCCCAGTGTCAGAAACTAAGGTGTGAGATACATGCATGGGTGTTCCCTGTGAACCCGGAAGAGCCTCCTTGTGCACAGCAGATGTTTAGTAAATAGTCTGAGTGCTTCAACTTCTTGACCTAAAGGGATGGCCTGCTTCTAGAAAGCTCTGAGAACCTGGACAGGGAATATTTGAAAAACAGGAAGTCACCGCAGCACTGCGCTCCTCCATTCCAGAAATGTTTATGAATTCCTCACTACATGAGAGCAACTCGGCCCCTGGGAGGTCTTGGCTCCTCCCGCCAGGCCAGTCTGACTTTCTAGCTTGTCTTTTCTTTTATTTTTATTTTATTTTATTTTTTTTATTTTTTGACAGGCAGAGTGGACAGTGAGAGAGAGAGACAGAGAGAAAGGTCTTCCTTTTGCCGTTGGTTCACCCTCCAATGGCCGCCACGGCCGGCGCGCTGCGGCCGGCGCACCGCGCCGATCCGAAGGCAGGAGCCAGGAGCCAGGTGCTTTTCCTGGTCTCCCATGGGGTGCAGGGCCCAAGCACCTGGGCCATCCTCCACTGCACTCCCTGGCCACAGCAGAGAGCTGGCCTGGAAGAGGGGCAACCGGGACAGAATCCGGCGCCCCAACCGGGACTAGAACCCGGTGTGCTGGCGCCGCTAGGCGGAGGATTAGCCTAGTGAGCCGCGGCGCCGGCCTCTAGCTTGTCTTTTCATCCAGCACCACCTGAACGTCTCAGGCAGAGCAAGAGGTGGTGGTGGGCAGGGGGATGGCGAGACTCTTAGAAGGGACATCCCTTCCCAGAGGCTGCGGACAAGGCAGGATTCTGAGGTCTCTGGAAAGACTCACCTTTGACAGCTTGCTGGATGTAGGCTGTCGTCCCATCACTGAGGGTCACCGTCTGCAGCCCCAAGCTCTCCATGGCAAACTGCTGCTCGTGCACTCAGACATGAAGTTGGCTTCTGGCCAGCACCGAGAGCCACAGCTGAGGTCAGAGACTTCCTTCTGGGTCACAAATCTGAGAAAATGACAGGGTCACGTTATGAGTTATGCAGCTTCCTCTTGCTTCGAGGACACACAGGGACAGAGTTAATGAGGCCATCCAAGAAGAAAAAGGAGACAAATTCTTCAAAGTAGAGAACTATGTTGGTTTTATGGAAAGAGTTCAAAATATGCACACCTAAGAGTTCTAAAGGTTGAGCACAGACGGGAAGCATGCCAATCAAACTGGCTGTAAAGGAAGAGCTGACTGATCAAAACCCACTCTGAAACTGGCTCCCCTTCCAGGGGACCCCTGTGATGGGCAGGCAGCCAACCCTGCTGTTGCAGACTCTCTGTGCCCACCCCCACACCTCTCTGTGCTCAGACCCTGGTGACAATCCTCAGGGCACACCCCACAGGTATCACAGATGGAAAGAGTTCCCAATAGGACTCCTAGTGTCCCCCATGGCCCAGGCCCGCTCTGCTTTCCAGTTCCCCATCCCAGGGAAGGCACCTCCTTCCACTTGGAATTGGTGGGGCCATCCTTGAGTGCTCCTCTTCCCTCAGAAGCCCAGGTACTCATTTCAGGCAAGTATCACCTCTTGAATATTCTAAGAGCCTCCTCACTTAGGTCCTCAGATAAACTCTCGCCCATTTCCAACTCATTTTCACATGGTAACCTTAAGGAAATAAAGCACAAATCTAAACACACCACTTTCCTGATCACAGCCCTCCAACAGCTTCCTCCTGCCCTTGCAATCTCCTCACAGGCCCTGCTGTGAATTCCGGAAGCCCTGGGTACCATCTCTTTCTAGGACTCACGGCCCTAGGCTCACCTGCTTCAGTACTTAGCACTATCGGTTGAACCTTTACTGCCTAACAGACTCAGCTCTAGTCTGCTTTCTGGCTCACAGCGGTTTCTCCAGCAACTGGTACTGTGGGCTCTCTGCAGAGCCTCTTAGCATGACTCACGGGAGCTCTGGCCCTTACAGCTGGCAGGATTCCTCTGCATCACGGTGGTGTGGAGCCACCTCGCTGTAGGCCCCCACCTGTGAAGCCTGCAGGAGGCCCACAGCCTCCGCTCTGGGTTTGGACTTGGAACCTGACCCATTTGAACGTCATGACCTACCAGCTGACATCCTGCTGCCCACTGCGTTTTCACATCAGAGCACCCAGAGAGGATATTTGTACATCACAGTGTGGATTCTGCTGCTTGAAGCCAGCAGTAAATCAGTTGGGGTCTGGCAGTCCCAAGGGCTGAGCAGATCAACGTCTCAGCATAATTACAACCCATCTTCAACAAGCTGGTTGGTATTCTCCACCAGAGGCGTGGCATCTCAACTAGAATTATTCATTCATTCTATCCATAAACATTTACTGAATGGACTAAGCTCCAAGGGGCAATATTACTACTAGTAAACACTACCATAGACTTAACCATGTGCTAGGCATAGTACGGATACTAACTCATTACTTCTCACAGCAACCTTCTACTTGCACACTATTATTTTCCCTATTTCACAGTTGAAGGAATTGAGTCCGAAGATATAAAGTAACTTGCTCAAGGTTGCACAATTAGTAAGTGGGAGAAGAGATCTGAACCCAGGCCAGAGGATCTAACATGTTTTTTATTATGCTGCCAAATACACAGGTTCTTGGAGCTGGTTGTTTATGAACCAAGAAGCCACCTAAAGATAAATTTGTGGTATATGAGCCTACGTACTTTTCTAAAGCGAGAGGAGCCCAAGGCTACCATCAGGGTCTGACAAGGACTAAAGGAAAGAACCACTGGTCAAGATGGAAATTCTGATTTTTGATCCATTTTTTCAGACCTATTAGGGTTCTAGTACGGACCATAACCTTGCCCAGAGCCCTGAAAACCCCTACATGGTCCTTATTTCATGAAAGCTCTGGTCCTGCCCTCTATGGGTCTGTCCAATGACACTCAACTTTCATTTTTTTAAAAAAGATGTATTTATAGGGGCCAGTGCTGTGGTGTAGCGGGTGCTAGCACCCCATATGGGCACCGGTTCACATCCCGGCTGCTCCACTTCCGATCCAGCTCTCTGCTATGGCCTGGGAAAGCAGTGGAAGATGGTGCAAGTGCTTGGGCCCCTATACTGCATGGGAGACCCAGAGGAAGCTCCTGGCTCTTGATCCAAGAGCTTTGGATCAGCGCAGCTCTGACCATTGCAGCCAACTAGGGAGTGAACCAGCAGATGGAAGACCTCTCTCCTCTCCTTCTCTCTCTGTGTAACTCTGCCTTTCAAATAAATAAATAAATCTTTACAAAAAATAAAAATTTATTTGAAAGGCAGAGTTACAGAGGGGGGTGGGGGGGAGAGAGATCTTCCATTGCTGGTTCACTCCTCAAATGGCCACAAAGGCCAGGGCTGGGCCAGACCAAAGCCAGGAGCCAGGAGCTTCATCCATGTCTCCCACGTGGGTGGCAGGAGCCCAAGCATCTATGTCTCCCATCTTCTGCTGTTTTCCCAGGCATATTAGCAGGGAGCTGGATTGGAAATGGAGCAGCCAGAACATGAACTGGTGCCCAGATGGGACATCAGTGTTGCAGGCAGCAGCTTAACTGGCTGCACCCCAAACTAGCCCCAACTTTCAATCTTCTAATCAGGAAGAGAGATTCTTTTAGTAACTTTAGCGTTAATAGCATTACATCAGAAATAAGAACACATATGAGAGACTCACGTGTCGAAACAAAAAGCACACTGTGGGTTGAAGAGGCATTGCAAACTGGCCTCAAACCTTTATGGTTGGGCCCCGTGGCTCCTGAAGCGATGCCTGGGACTCTGAGGAAGATTAGTGGCGTGATTAAGAGCATAGGCTCTGGAGTGGGCATCTGGCACAGCAACACTTGGGCTGCAGTCTCAGCTCTGCTTCTGATTCCATCTTCCTAACCTGCACCCTGAGAGGCTCAAGTGCCTGGATCCCTGTCATCCACGTGGGAGACCTGGACTGAGCTCCAGGCTTCTGGTTTCAGCCTGGTCCAGCCGCAACTGTTGCAGGCATTTGGGGGTGAACCAGCAGGTGGAAGATCTCTCTGTCTCTCTTTCAAATAAATAGAGAAAAATTAAATAAATAAAGGGCACACAGGCTCTGGAGTCAGCCAGCTTGGGTTCCAGTGCAGGCTCTCCCTCCTAGAAGTGCCGTAGATTTGGGCAAGAAAATGAACCTTTCTGAGCCTCGGGTGCCACTTCTAATAAGATGGGGGAAAATAGCAGCACCTGTGTCATGGGTTGCTGTAAGGATTAAATGAAGTCACAGGTCAGCATGTAGCACAGTGCTGTCACACAGGAAGTACTTCAGAAATCCTGGCTCTGGGGAGGAGGGGAGCCAAGGGGAACCTAAAGGGAACGTTTTTGAAGTAATGTGTATTTCTATTACGTAGCCAGGAGTGGCAACAGCCTCAGACTAGAAGTCTGCAGCACTGGCTTCTAATCTTGATTCTATCTCCTATGTCTGCTTCTCTCCCTGTAAAATGAAGCACTGGCCTAGATGGCCTTAGGAGCTTTTCTACTGTTCATTATACTGATCACAGACATACCCCTCAATATGTGCCAGCTACTGCTTAAAGCATTTTACCTATAGTAACTTAAAAAAAGAAAAAAATTATTTTTATTTGAAAGGCAGCGTGACACAGCAAGGGAGAAACCAAGAGAGATCTTTCACCTGGTGGTTCATCCCTCAAATACCTGTAAGAATCAGGGCAGGGTCAGGCTGAAGTCAGGAGCCCAGAACTCTGTCCAAGTCTCCTACATGAATGGAGGAACTCAAGTACTTGAGCCACTATCTGCTGCTTTCCTGGGCACACTAGTAGGAAGCTGCATCAGAAGCACAGCAGCCGGCAGGCACTCTGATGGCAGCAGCTTAACCTACTATGTTATAATGCTTGCCCCTATGTTAACTCTTAGAATCTTAAAAATATCCCTATGAAGAAACAGGCACATTCTGCCCATCTTACAGGTGAGCTGACTGATGATCAGCAGAATAATAATTTGCCCGAGGCCCCCACACCTCCAAGGGCTGACTCCAGGATTCAAGGCCAGGCTGGCTGGTCGAGTCTGCACCTCTACTGCTTCCTTCAGCTAATCTACCGTGACTGGCACACTGTCAGCACGGAGAACACTTGAATATGGGTTGTTTAACTTCCATCTCAGCCACTGAAACTTAAACCGAATCCTTCTTGGCCTGCCTGCAATGGTAAGAGGGAATAGCTGTAGCCACACTTACCAAAATAACCCTTCCTGGACTCAAAGAAAACAAATCTCTACGCCTTTGCAAGTTCTCCTGTCCAGGCTAAATAATCTCAACTCACCCACTTTTCCTCTCAAAGCCTCATAATACTAACCTTTAAAATAGCACACTGTTGCTCTCTAACCTTCCCCAAGCGCCAGAGCTGGACTGCAGGGGGTGAGGAGGGTGCTGCCCTGCTGCCAAGCCTGCACCAATGCCCGGACTGCCAATTTTTCCCCCCTTCCTTTGAGTCTGGGGTGGGGAACACCTGCCCCTTGGGCTGTATAAGGCCCGTGAAGTCATTTGGTTTGGTTCTGCCCAGGCAGCCGCAGGATGGACCTGAGATACAATAAATCTGTAGCAGACTAATTTTTAACTTGATAATTTTGTACGGCCTGCGGATGTTAGAACTATCCAAACGGCCCTTGGCAAAAAAAAGCTTCCCCATTCCTGCTTTAAATGATGGTTTCTCCTGCATTGGCACCAAACTAACAAGAGTGACATGGGCAGAGCTGAGTTACTGCTTCAGGATGGCTGTATTGGAAGAGTTCCTGCCTGCACTTGCGTTTCATAACTCTGGTGGCCCTCGGAGGAAGGGCATGCAAGTGGCTGGGAGTGGGGGTATGGCTGCTTTTCTACCCTCAGAGGGCATATGTTTACCAACTCTGTAATGACCTGAGGTGAATACAGGGAGAGACAGACTGGGCAAAGAGGAGATCGGTAACAAAAAGGCCAGGACCTGGGGCCAGCACTGTGACATAGCGGGTAAAGCTGCTGTCTGCAGTC